AGTGCAAGGAAAGTGTTAAAATACCACTATTTGAAATACCCTAGGGTATCTACCTTTCAAAAATGTATGGTTTGATGGGAGTAAATTATATTGGCTGGCTTCAGAAATGTCCCAAATAGGACATGGGTGCATGATGACCAGCTGTGAAAATTCCAAGTTTTAAAACTGGAATGCGCACCCTCCAAACAAGGTCTTTTAGGCCCTAGAGAACCAGACATACCTATACATATCACTGTACTCAGGAGATGTTGCTGAACACATATTGTGGTGTTTTTTTGGCAGTAATACATAACAGGAGCTAAGAATCCATACCTAAAGTACAATGTGTGTGAAAAATAACACAAAAAAATGACTATCCAAAAGGTTGGCAAAGACTGGTGGTAGAATTAGTGCATAGAAAGTGTTAAAATAACACAATTTGAAATACCTTAGGGTGTCTACTTTTCAAAAAGATATAGTTTGATGGGGGTAAATGACATTGGCCGGCTTCAAAAATGTCCCAAATAAGACATGGGTGCATGATGACCAGCTGAGAAAACTCCAAGTTGGAAAACTGGAATGTGCACCCTCCAAATAAGGTATTTTAGCCCCCAGAGAACCCAACACACCTATACATGGGGAGTGTCACTGTTCTCAGGAGATATTGTTGAACACATATTGGGGTGTTCTTTGGCAGTAACCCTTAAAGATCTCCGTACATGTATTCTTAAATTGCTATATGTGTCAAAAAAATCACCAATTATTTTTTCGTTTTTACATTTGGCATAGATTGGTGGTAAAATGGTTGCACGAAAAGAGTCAAAATACCCCAAGTTGAATACCTTAGGTTGTCTTCTTTTAAAAAATATATACATGTGAAGGGTAATTCAGGGATTCCTGACAAATATCAGTGTTATAATGTAACTTTTCAATGTCAATTTTTTTTAAAATATGGTTTGGAAATAGCAAAGTGCTACTTGTACTTAAAGCCCTATAACTTTCCCAAAAAACTAAGAACATGATAACATTGCGTATTTATAAACTCAGGACAAAATTTAGAAACTATTTAGCATGGGTGTTTTTTGGCGGTTGTAGATGCGTAACAGAGTTTAGGGGTCAAAGTTCAAAAAAGTGTGTGTTTTTACAATTGTTCATCATATTTTATTTTAAAAAATTATAGTAAATTATATGAGATGATGAAAATAATGGTACCTTTATAAAGACCATTTAATGGCAAGAAAAATGGTATATAATATGTGTGGGTACAGTAAACGGGTAAGAGGAAAATTACAGCTAAACACAAACACCGCAGAAATGTAAAAAGAGCCGTGGTCCTTAACGGTAAGAAAATGTAAAAACGGTCTGGTCACTAAGGGGTTAATGGCTGTCACACTTCAAAAGAATAATGGTCGGTCTTGGTAGACTACCAGTCTCCTTTTCATGCCATAAAGTATCTTTTTGATGCATCTGGACCTTGGTTCAACTCAATCTTACAAAGGGGTCTTATAGAAATCCCATTGAATTTGAAAAGTAAAATTAATTGGTAGGGGGTATATCTTCTTGGTAATTCTAATCTGTGTTTGGTTTCCTCAGCTACACTGTCCTATTGTATGGAGCTAAGTGTGTCTGTATTATTAATATGTGATTACATGTGGTGTATACATGTCTTTTACACACATTCAGCTGTTAGTTTTAATAATATTGAAATATATTCATTAGGTTTGATCTATGAATATATTACATTTAGGTACTACTTGTATTTAATTAAACATAATTGTATGGTTAGTATATATATATATGTATATACCCTTTATACATATATATATATATATATATAGATAGATAGATATAGACATTTCAAAAGCCTAAAAAGGTATGGTGGGGAAAAGTTGTGATTGAAAACCCCTTCCACCTTAAGTCTGTGGATAGTTAGTGCAATGTTAAGCACAAATATACATACTAGTTAAGCCCTAAGACTTGCTTTTCCCACAGAAATTACACATTTGCAGTGATGTTACTACCACAAAGGATTCTGGGTGAGCATATGCAATTAGTTTAACAAAGAATCACATTTTTGCCTCATTCTATTTTAAACATGGATTCATTTGAGTCTGTGTTTGCTGTATACAACAGCTTTAAAAAAACAACTTAGGAAAATATGCAAAGCCAGTGAACCACTCATGGACAGCTGTTTCATTGTTAATGCAAATCATCAGCATGAGGTTGGTTACTGGTTTGCTATTGAGGGTTGGTGGTGCTTGGGAAGGAAAAATAGCTTTTCCTAAGTTGTGTTTCAAAGCTGTTGTATATAACGAACACAGACTCAAAGGAATCCATGTTTAAAATGGAATGAGGCAAAAATGGGATTCTTTGTTAAACTAATTTGCATATGCCCACCCAGAATCCTTTTGGTAGTAATATCACTGCAGATTTGTGATTTCCGTGGGAAAAACAAGTCCTATGGCTTGACTGGTGTGCAGATTTTTTTCTAACAGGAAAAAAAAAAAAAAAAAGAGAGAATACTTAATTTTACATTAATTGTTTTTGTTTCCTTTTGAACTCTTGTTTTAATGAAAAATAGGGGAGCAACTGTAGCAAAAGTCCTTCTATATTGAAATAATGGAATTTTAAAAAAATTAAAAAGTCAGTGGTCATGTTTAAGTGAAGACCCACTCACACCTTCCTCCCTGAGAAAAATAATGCTTTTCAAAACATCCACTTTGTAGGGTCAATGAAAATCCTTCAATGTGGGGGGAAATACATCCTACCATTAACTTCTCAAAACTACATCTGTAGCAGTAGCAGGCACAGCAAGACTTAGTGGGGCAGGGCAACCCACAACAATGAAAGGCATTTTAAAATAGGGGGAGCAGCAGAATTAGTTATTTAATTTGGGGAAGAAAATACATTTTTTTTTCAAAACTTGAAAGGAAAAAGTGAGTGCCAATTGACACCCCAATCACAGCCCTTTCCACCTCAGAGAACAACACACATTTTGCACCAATCTATTCTGTATGCCAGTGAGTGGAATAAGATGTTTGATTTTTTCTTTTGTCTTTTACTTTTACATTTAGCAGATGAAGGCCTAGACTATTCCTGTCCAACCTATGTCTGTTGAATGCTGGTACTACCCCCACCATCTCTCCTGCTTTGGTTAACATGGGTGGTGGTAGTAGCAGTTGGTTGGTGGTAGCTGGCTGTGCTGAATTAGATACAGTGCCAAAACACATTCTCGTTATGCTTCTTCACTCAGTAACATAAACTTGTGCTGTCTTTGCAGATATTGGTTCATACAGGCACAAGTAAGATGACCCTGCACTCTCCCACTACCCCAGTACCTTGCTGCAAATTTGCACTTTGCAAGTTAGTCTTGTAGCTGGAACTCAAATGTTGATTTGCCACAAGACATTTGCTTCAACCCTTAACCTTACAACTTCTGAAGATGCAGGAGGATTTGCATTGGTGGCACTTGAAGCTGTCACAACACAAGCCTGTCCATTCGCTCTTTGTTGATTAATGCTAATAAAAATGTTGATGTTGGTCATTGTAACAATAACGGTGGGTAAGCTACTTGTGCCATTGGTAGCAGGCAAAAACTGATGACACAACTCTCTCCATTGTATTAGATGATTTAATAGCATATAGCTTGCAGATAATCTGGTTCTGATGGTGCCTGCACAGTATGCTATGTTGAGCTTCTCCTTCTTGGGGAGCAACAAGCAGGAGCTGCAATTTCAGTGGAAGCAAAATTTAGTCTGAAGCTGGTGGTCTTTTTCAGAACAGATTTTTCTGCTGCATTAAACTTTGAATACCCAAATGCAGCAAAAAAATTAGCATAAAAAAACACTTACCATCTGGTTTATAAATTGCATGTAATGGACATGCTAGTCCCACTATCCTGAGGCTTTGGTGACAATGGGATATCCACAGTCCTCATAGTCCAGAAAGAAGTGTTAAGACTACTCAACACTACTGCTGATTAGGGAGCATGAACCCTATCCTCCCTTATTTTGTCTTGGGATTCGTACATTACATTGATGATAGTGGGTTTGTGTTTATATAAATGTTTGTTGTGTATAGTAGCACAAAATATTGAGCCCACGATTTTCTTTCTACAACTCCCGCCCCCCCCCTCCCCTCCAGGAACTGGACAAAACAGCTCTGGAGGTCACAACACTGACTGACTCTGTTTATATTGTTACACATGGTTTTACAGACACAGACCCCTACATGGGGTCTCCAATACACAACAACAGGGGTTTCAATACAAAGAAGCTGAAGGGGGAGGGAGGAGGGACACAAAATCTAGGTTAAACTGGGCTGGCAGTGTTTCTGTGGCAACGTCTTGCTGTGTCAGGAAAAGGGAGGGGAAAGGGGGAGAGATACAGGCAGACCATACAATCCATTTGACTTACTCTACTTTACAGAGCTGCTTCATATACAAGCACAATACACAAAAGGCATAGAAATACATGAGGAAACACAGAGGGACCACACAATACAATGGGAAAACACACGAATAAGCAGTGGGCATGGTACTCGGTGATGGCGTCCGTCACAGTGACTTCTTAAGACAAATAATTTGACAAGTGTTTTATACAGAAATATTAAAATATAGATCATTATAAGTTAACAGGAGTTAACAGTTATAAGTTAAGCTTGAATTGAACCTAAAAGTCTACATTCATTTTATCACACACTTTGCACAACTTTATTTGCATGTTAATCCTTACTATACAATTTTAATAAAACATTCGCTAACATTTAGCATATTAAATAGATTTGTTATATAGGATGCTTGAAAAATCATAGAAGCCACAAGGCGGTTTTATTTATTTATTTTTCAACATGCAGAAAAAAAAACGACCTGGTCACTAGGCACATTGTAGACAACATGAATTAGAACACTAAATAAAACTTACGGAGGGTGAGGGGGTGATTTAAATCAAAATCCATATAGTCTTAAATGTATAAAGATTAAAGTCTTTTTTTTTTTTCCAGGTCAAAATAAACAAGCAAATCTCCTGCTTATGGGTGAGGAGCAAGATAACAAACAGTCTGCTTCATGGAGACATTCCTATGGACTCAAGAAAAAGGACATACTTGTAATTGTGTGTGTTTATGGTAAAAAAAATCCATTGATAAGAAAACAGAATCAAATGCGTCCTCAATGCAAAGTTGGATGCATTTCAAGTTGCAATTAAAGTATTCCCCGAAAGACTGCAACCTCTTTCACATCAAGCACTTTAGTGTCCTCTTCTGGAAGCATCTGATATTCTTTTTGCACTGTTGCCTGTAACTCTGCCTCTTTAGAGTTACCTGTTTACACAGTCCAGTTACTAAAGAGAGACCTTACTGCATAGTGATGACTGTGATCCATACTAGAAGTGCCATAAAGATCCCTGGATTGCATAACAGTGGGACACCATAGGTTACTTTTGTCGGCTCTAATAAAATTACCTGCACTTTGCCTTAACCCAGCCAAAATGTGATTGTCAGAAGAAAAGTTACAGAAGAAACAGCAGGCCCATCCTGCCAGTGTTTTGTGTGGGACTGTTGTCTTTCTGTGAAGACTTATACCCAAGATGCAGTGCTCTGAGAAATCCGAGCACACAATTGGACAGCATGTTGATGACACAAGGTTTTAATGTCAAGCCTCCATGCTGATCACACAGTCATTTGTTTAGTTAGGAAACAAACTTACAAGACAAGTTGCCTTTGAAGGAGGATTGTTCTATCAAATATCAGATTACATCTGTGGCAGTTTTTGCACAGGTTTATTGCAGTCATTTATGTCAGTAAAGTGTAATGAAATTATATGGCAACACAGTGCCCAAACAATGTCAGTATCTGTACAAAGTGCAGTATATTTATTCACAGCAATTTGTAGCTTCATCATAACTATTTTCTATATTGTACACTGCGACCTGTCAGGTGACTGTGACACCTTAATGCATGATAGCCTATCTCTTGAGGTAACATTCTGCCCATTTTAAGAGGATTCACGAACGCTTTGCAGTGCAATGCGTTACTTAGCCTCTGACACCAAACATGCTATAGTGGAGCAATTTTTAAAGATTCTTCATTAACGAGGCTAAGTTATTATCATTAAAGAAGAAAAAAAAGCAGCTTTCAAATAATTTTTATCTTTCCCCACTATTGGTGTTTTTTTTATGTACTGAACTAGTATTTTACAAAATAAAAACATCTACAGGATTTCTATACAGGAAGACCAACTAAACATTTAGCACTAACTAATATTTTATATTTAAGTTCAGTGTAAAAATATAGTATATGTGGGTGTGTTTTCACTGCATAAGAAACTTTTTCTTTAGTGTATATTTTCAATTTTGTGATGTCTCGGGAGATTGTTATTGTTGCATATATTTTATCCTTTTGTTTGGTGAATATACAAAAAATACTCTTAGTCTGATAAAACGAAATACTGTTTTGGGCTATTAATTAGTAGTTCGTGTTTATAAATTATTGCAAAAAATATATATACTTCCTTGAATTGTACTTATTATTGGTTTGAGTAATTCTTCTGAAATGTATCTGCAAAAGTATTGCAATAATAATGAAAGTGCAGTGTTTGTTAGATGCCGAAGGTTTGTGCATGTCAACAGTGTCAAATTTCTAAACACTGAGTAGAAGATGGAATGGTTATATTATGAAATACCTGTTATTATCCCCTTAAGGACACATGACGAAAATATTCCGTCATGATTCCCTTTTATTTCTGAAGTTGTGTCCTTAAGGGGTTAAATCGCCTTTATTCTCTGTTTTGTTTATTGAAGAAACCATGAATAGGCTCCCCCAACTAAAATTTAGGTTTCTACATTTATCATAAATTCTGTTATATTTTTCCCTTCATTTCTGTTTATTTGAAATTATACAAAAAGGAACACAAAACAAATTAAAATATAGCTTTGTAATTTATTGTGCCGTCATATTCATCCATCAACAATGGTTACCGCCAGCAGTGCGTACAACAATGTGCTTTGTTGCATTTTAGTAATTAAGAGCATCCTTGCCAATATTTGAAAATATTAAGCAGGGGCAGATAGGCTAGGTCTGGGTGTGTGGTTAGCTTTGAGGTATGTCAGTAACACAAACCTCATTTCCAGCATCCTTCCATACGATGCTACCTATTGTCCCACCACAGAAGGTTTACATTGAATGTATTTTGCTGAAATCAGACAAGAATATGATAGAGTTGGATATTTTATACTTTGCAACAGCTAGTTTTTTTTTACACATGTTTAAACCAATTTTTGTTCAGAGGAATGATATAAAAATTCCCCAATTTAACAGTTCTATTAACAAGTACTTTAAAGTCCACTTAATGGTTGCCATGATACATGTTCTTTTACTGCTGCCTTGCTTCCTAGTGTGAACCTGAAATGTATGCGGTACATCATTATGATATTGTGATGTCTAATGTTCTTATACTGTTCAGATTAACACCAGGAAGCAACGCAGCAGTGTCAGTGGAGTGATTTCAACAAAACTAATTTTATTAAGGCAATTTTATTTTTAATATGGCATTTTACTATGGATCTAAAATCTATTTAGGCAACGCTTTTCTTTTGAAGCCTCGCCTTTTCTTTCTATACCTTAAAGAGAAACTTGAGGCACCATAATAACTTAATAACATAATAACTCAAAGAAATTGCTATGTGTCAGGAGATTCCAGGTGCCATCTTACCTTAAGGGGTTACGCCTTTTATAAATAGTTTAACCTCAAAATGTTGAAGTCTGTCCTGTCCAATCTGTTTCCAGCAACATGCTATGCATGCTATAACATAATATAACATAATATGCCACAATATATAATATATAAATATATATTAATATATTTTGCCAAATGTACAAACATGTTTTTATTATAAAACCATGAAGATTATATACTTTAATGCAATAAATGTAATAACTTTCCATAGTACTAAAATGTACCTAAAAGAAGGGGAACACAATTAATTAAGATTAAACAAATAAATTAAATCAAAAGTCAATAGTCATTCTACTAGCATTTATGGTGCACAATGTTTATTCCAATTTTATTTCTTGCTAATTCCCTTCCTGTAGCTATCAACATTTTTTTTTTAATGCTTTTGTTCTTATGTGCTTTTTTTCATTCATTTAAACAGCCAGGGCATTTATTTTACTTGAACAATATTTAAAACATTTTATGTTTTTATCTTGTGAAACAAACAACAACAAAAAAGATTTCCTGGACCACCTAATAGGTGAGAGTCCAATGCTTTAAAGACTATTTTGAGGACTGTTGGGGACATTTTTTACAGGGTAATCCTGCTGGGGCCATTTTTACAGGGTAATGCTGTGTGGGGGCCTACGGCCGAGGTTAATTCGGGCCAATAGAATGGGATGCTGACCCACTTGTGGTGCCTGAGTCAACAACAGCTGTGGTGCTAGGGGTGGACCATGCTTCTCTTGGTATCCACCCAATATTTACTACCTCAGGGAGTCTGTTGAGTGTCCATGACTGCTGTTCCACACTGACGTCTTATGTATTCCAGATGGGAGGGGTGCTTAGGTACTAAGCAATGGATTTGTGGGTAGTTTGTATAGTTTGATATCATCCACAAATTTGTTGTTAAGAGGAGGAAGATACCGGTGACCTAATAATCTGGGTCTCTACCGGACATTCAGCTGCTGCAACTCCCTGGAGTTTTCTCACTGCATCATCTACCATACCCCCATGACAGATACCCATTAGATGTAGTTTGAGGGCAAGGGAAGGGCAGAATGATTGGTTCATAGCCTGCTTCACTGTTCTTGCCTGACCTAGGTTGTTAGTCACTTTTTTTATCTCTTGTTTTTTCTCATTCTATCTTTCCTATCTTGTCATGAATGGCAGGTTTTCACCTCTCACATTGTCTCTCTGATCTAAAAATTTCCTGGGCTTAAATGTTTCTGAGAGGCACTCTAACCTACTATGAGCTCGGTGGGCGAACAGGGTGTTTCTACAAGAAACACATTTTGGAGATGGTTCTGCATCTGCGTTAAGGGACCACAGAGTTCCTATAGGATTTTTTTCAAATCACAAAGATGCTACCATCCTGTTTACTCACACGATTTCTTTTCTCTGCACTGCAGTACAAGCCAATCCTTTGGGTTGTTATCTCCTTATAAATGTAATGCTTGAGGACCATAACTGTTCCTTCGCATGTATATATCCCCCAAAGACAAAACAACATTTTTGACAGAACCCTTGCCTTACTGGAGACGTTTATGAGGGACTACTCATTGTGGCCAACAACCTTAACCTGGCCCTTGGCCCCCACATGGACAACTCCAGTATAATGGGTTGCATCTCTCTATACAGTCCCCTGCACATGTATAAGGATTAATGCAGTGCTCTCACCCAATTTTAGATTAGAAATGGTAGACCCCTGTCTACCCTCCTGTTTGCCCTCAATCTATCTGCTTTTCTTGAGGCAGTCAGACAGAATGGGGGAGGGATCACAGGGTTCCCTTAGGCTACACCAAGTAGCCACATACACGGACAATATACTTTTCTTTAAAGAGAGACCTCCCAAATATTCTACCCATTTTTAAAGAATACCGAGACCTCTCTAATATGAAAATTAACATTGATAAGCCTTGTTAATTTTCTGACAGTATATATAAAAGACAATAAAAAGGAATTATTAAAGAAAGTTGCTCAAATCACCAAGTGTGTGCCACTCCAAATCACACTAAACAACATAGAAAAAATTGTAATAAATAAAATAGTGAAAGCATACAAAATAGTGCATAAACCAGTAGTGGATAAAATAAATAAAACATGCAATTTACCTTGTAGCTGTATACATCCTAAAACTATAAAAGACAGTACATAGTATAGCCTGTATGGATCAAATGGATAATATGAGAGAAAAATAACCCACTCACATGGTGCTGAGCCGTTGAAAAGTGGCTCAGACTATTAGCGCCTTTCTCAATTTTCTTGGAGATCCAATGCTTGAACCCAAATTGAGATGTCCCCCATGGAATCTGTGCTCCCCAAACAAACTTCAGATGAAGGGATGGATTCAGGAACAAAACTCTTTATTGGTACATATAAAAGCTTCAGGTAGTGAACTATATATTACTCGCAATTTGGTACTGAACTCCCCCGAGTTGCTCCACTGCATGTGTGCAGGGGTCCCAGATATGTGCTGGGGATGAGGTTGATATCGGTCTACTCATCTGTTGAACCCCTCAATCATTTTCTCTTACTGGAGATAGATCCACTCTGTGGTTGCAGTTCACTATTGCAGATTGTATAAATAGTGATTTTGACCGTCACCAATGTTGTTGCATTGAGAACGCCACTAAAAGAGGTCACTTACCAAGCCTCTCTTAACCCCATAATGCTGTTACGGCAGGGCTGTTCAACCTGCGGCCTCCCAGATGTTGCTGAACTAAAACTCCCACGATTCACTTTCTGTCTTTTTAATTGAAAGAATCATGTTGTAGTTCAGCAACATCTGGGAGGCTGCAGGTTGTACAGCCCTGCATTATGGCATCCTATGCCCTCTGCAATATAATGGGCTTTAAAGCAGTTGTGGTAGCATGGAGCGCCATAATGGCTTTCATGCCCAGGAGGTCAGCGCAGGACCAGCCTTAGGGGTGTGCGACCTGTTTACAGTCACACAGGGTGCAATGGCAGCAGGGGGTGCCATGTGGACAACATAGCTCAAACACTCCTTGGGTATCAGGTGTGCGGGAGTGCACAGAGGTCTCCTATAATGCTGGTCGCTCTATCTAGCATGGCGAAACAGCACCAAGTCTATCAGTGACGGCAGCAGGGGTGGACCTAAGTGAGCGACATAGGCAGAACTAAGTGGTTGGCGGGTGGAGCTAAGCTGGTGAAAGTGGAGCTAAGCTAGTGTCCTGGTAAGAGAGAGAGAAGCAGGAAGGAGTCCCCGCTTCCACATTTACTACCACAGTGCCCCTGCCCACCAACTACTCCTAGAGTGCCCCTGCCCCCAAATACTCCTACAGTACCCCTATCCCACAACTACTCCTAGTGTGTCCCTGCTCCCAACCACTCCTACAGTGGCCCTTCACCAACTACCCCTACAGTGCCCCTGCCCCTAACTACTCATAGATTCCCCCTACCCCCCAACCACCCCTAGAGTTCCTCTACTTCCCAACTACTCCTATAATGCCCATGCCACCCAACTACATCTAGATTGCCCTTGCCCACAACTACTCCTAGGGTGCTTCATTCCCCCAACCTTTACTAGCGTGCCCCTGCACCAACTAATCCTACAGTGCTGCTGCCCCAACAACCCCTACAGTGCCCCTGCTATAACTACTCCTAGAGGGCCCCTGCCCCCCAACCACTCCTATAGTGCCACTGCCCCCTAACCACTCATACATTGCAACTGCATTCTAACTACTCCTAGAGTGCTCTCCCTGCCGCCCAACCACTCCTAGAGTTCCCCTTCCCCAACTACTACTACAGTGTCCCTGCCCCAAATACCCCTACACTGAGTGCATAAATAGTGATTTCAACCATTACCAATGTTGTTGCATCTAGATCTCCAGTGACAGAAGTCACTTACCAAACCTCTTTAAACCCCATAACGCCGTTACGACATTCCATGCATTCTGCAATATAATAGGCTTTAAATCTGTTGCAAAGGCATGGACTGTCATTACAACTTTCATGCCCAGGAGGTCCACATAGGGCCGGCCCTAGGGGTGTGCGAGCTGTGCGGTCGCATAGGGTCCCATGACAACAGGGGGCACCATGGGGCAGACACTCCTTGGGTGATAGGTGTGGGAGATTGCACAGA